CCTTTGACTTTATAAACGACCCCTTTAGCATATTCTGTGTGTTATCACGTTTGTCCGAGATCTTAAGCAAACATCGGACTTCTGCTGAAATGTTTTTAAATCCTGTACCACTAATGTTAACCTGTCATCCACCTGTCAGCAACAATCGACACATGAATCCTGTAATCCACTTCCTGCAATTGGGTCANGATAAGTTTGTGCACAGATGGAATGCTGACAGGCAGGTAGGCCATCCAGTTATTTTAGCCGGGCCGGCTAAAATGATTGGTCGTGCTTTTTACAGCACTTAGTGCTGTAAAAAGCACGACCAATCATTTTAGCCGGCCCGGCTAAAATAACTGGATGGCCTACCTGCCTGTCAGCATTCCATCTGTGCACAAACTTATCTCGTGCCCTCATTGGTCATGTGCGCATTCATGTGTGTTGGAGGAGGGGCTCTGTCAGGAAGTGGCAGATTTTTTCCGGCTGTGTATTTCCAAATTCTAGCGCACTCCAGCTGGTTTCTCCAAAATTACCTACCCCACCTTTAATTAGCCAGAAAAAAAACACCAAACAAACAACCGCAAATCTTTTTTTTAGCTCACAAAGTTGGAGTTTTTTTCATTGGGTTTCTTAATAGAGCTCCCTTGAATTGTTGTTGCATCCTATTTTGTGTAAGGCCTTTTCCCTTAGCACCTTCTCAGGTGGGTCTGGGACTGGTTTAAGAAAGCTGACAAAAACAAAGATGGTAAGATGACTTTCAAAGAGGTGCGGAAACTGCTGAAGATGATGAACGTGGAAATGAATGAGGACCATGCTTTCCATCTCTTCACGGTGAGCTTTCTAACTTCTTTGGATAAGGTTACTTCTTCTGGAACTTGCCTCCCAAAGGTGGCTTTTTTTTGGTGGTATATATTTTTTAGTCTGGTCTAAATCGGTTTTCCTCCTGTGTTTACGAGTTAACGAAAGGTGAGAAAAATAGTTTTGCCAGTAAATTATTACTATGATGTATTATTATTAGTTCATCTGTGAAAAAAGAGTTGAATTCAGTATTGAGTGTTGACTCACTTTGACCAAGAGGCTGAAGTGCACCTCTACCTGTGATACATGAAATGTTTTTAATTGGTGCCAATAGCGCTTTTATATTTTGTGTACTTTTAACTCTCCAGCTTCATGTTGCCAAAATGAGTATTTCAACAAAACACTTTTTGGACCAAAAAAAGTGAAACCTTCCAAAGGTTTCTGTTAACAGATGAAAAAAATTCAGTTTTTATCCAGGCAAAGGATCCAAAAACTTTTCTCTCCTGTTCTGAAGGCATGAACACATGCGAGACAATTATTCAAATCAAAATTAGAAAATGAATAATCCAAATTTTGATTTCCAAACCCAGACACCATGTAACAAAATCTAAAACATGTAGGTGCAATAAATAAATGACTAAAGCCTTTTTATTTCCACAGATGGCAGACAAGTCGGACAGTGGCTCTTTGGAAATCGAGCAGTTTGTCTATTTCTACAAGATGCTGACTCAGCGGGATGAGGTGTGGAAGGTGTTCCAGGACTACTCTGGAGATGGAGATAAGTTGATGTTGGAAGAGCTGGAGAACTTCCTGATCATGGAGCAGCAGGAGGGAGAGAAGAGTTCCCAGCATGCCCAGGAGCTGATCAACTGCTACGAACCATCAGAATCAGGTAAAGATGGCCGTGACTATCAGAACAGCGTTTTTTGTTGACGTCCCACATGATTTCTGAGGACAGGCTGGAGTTTAAGAGGAGTAGGCCAGTTGCCCCTAAAATACAGTCACAAATGATTGATGCAGTATTAGCAACATGTATAAGCTATTCAAATAAAAAATGCATTATTGGATATTAATATTTAATACTCTCAGTGTTTTTCCAGAGAGTGGTTGCAGGTGATAAAGGGTTGATATTAGCATTGTATGGATGAGGTGGGTGGACCTCAAACCGTTTTTTTTCATTTCAAAATGCTTAATGAGCAATAGGGTTAACCATTTCAGTAATATTATATTGTAATGCAAATATGTTTTTTTCATTCCGCTTCCCGAGGTCACCAGTCAGTTATCTTGTTTTCTTGATGCAACAAAATTGTGTCAACTTTTATTTGGAGTATATTTAGATTTGTTTGTAAGTTCTTTTAAACCTGGATTGTGCTCTTGTGCAGCCAAGAAGCAAGGTGCCATGTCCTTAGATGGCTTCCAGATCTACCTGTGCTCCCAAGAGGGCTCCATATTTAAACCTGAGCTGCGGGAGCTTCACCAGGACATGAGCCAGCCGCTCAGCCACTACTTCATCTCCTCCTCACACAACACCTACCTCCTGGAGGACCAGCTGCGAGGACAGAGCAGCCTGGAGGCATACATCCAGTGAGGCTGCTGCACATGCATGCAACATGGTTTACTCTTAGAACTGGATTTCATTGAACCAGAGGTTAGACAATCACAAGAAAGCCTACAGAAGTGAATTTAATGTACTTGGAAGCCACTCATATCCACTCCAGATAATTCGCTTTGGACATGTTCCAGAGTTTCCCTTTCACATGTACTTGTTCATTCACACATGTAGCACACAACATGAGCTTGTCCATTTTAGACACTAGTCACTTACTGAGAATACTCCCTTTGGTTAAGCAAAGGGTGACAGGCAACCTTCTGACAAAACAGGGTGCTTTTTAAATAGCAGCCACACTACCACGTTCATGATTTATTCACGAACAACTATGTTTCATGTCTTTTTATGATTTTTTCTAAATAGGGCCTCGCCAATTTAAGGCCCCAAATCTCGTTGTCTTGTTTTTTTGGCATCTTTGACTTTTTGGGCATCTTTGACTAAAATACCTTTCTTCTTCAACTACTAGATTTCAACCCATTCGCAATAGATAGAATTCACAGGCTCACTTAATTAAAGCTTTTCGGACAATGAGCAACTCATTCATATATGGAATCAATCAACACTGCACTGTTTTAGTAATAGTCAGCTAGCAGGGTATAGTCAGTTTGATGTCCGGTCCAAATGTCATTTTATTTTATTTATTTTGCTTTAAACAAAGCTGAGATACACTTATACACGTCTGTTTGTGTGTGTGTGTGTGTGTGTGTGTGTGTGTGTGTGTGTGTGTGTGTGTGTGTGTGTGTGTGTGTGTGTGTGTGTAGGGCCCTGAAGAGAGGCTGCCGGTGTGTGGAGGTTGACTGCTGGGATGGCAGTGACGGGGAACCCGTTGTGTATCACGGTCACACTTTAACTTCCAAGATCCTTTTTAGAGACGTCATTACAACGCTGAAGGAATACGCCTTCAAGGTGAGCAGCGCGAGCATTTTAAAGGGTTTTTCACTGTAAAAAATAATATTCCATCAGTTACCCCTAGAAGTATTCAGCCATGCAGCCCAGTCAAGTTTTATATTCAATTCAATAGCAATCTTTTCTTTGAGAGAGAATACATTTTCTAGTTAAAGACCTCACTGTGAAAAGTTTGCATTGGAACAGAAGAAATAAATTCCTATTAAAACTGTTGGAAGTGTGTTCTGTGTATTCCCACAAAAACAAATACTAATAAAGTTCAAACTATTCATGGCTGCACACAACTAAAATAACTGAAAATGGTTTTTGGGTGCCAAGCAAACCAACTGTTGAGTACTGTTGTGCCCATAAAAGTGTGAAGCAAACATGGATTTGGAAACCCTCCTAAACCCTGGAACAACTGTACCCCTGCTGACTGAACCACAGTACATGGAAAACAACCACAAACTTCTCATGTGTCTCTTCTTCTGAATTGCATCCTTCTCAAACTTTCCTACCCAACTTTAGAATGATATAATGCAGAAACTGTTCTAGAGGATTGTGAAAACGTGCAGTAAATGGAAATTCAATACAGTAGTTTCACCACTGAGATTGCAGGAGCTGATAGAATTACACTATAAATAAGAAAACAGATTACATTTAAAAGCCATTATTGTGTCTTCTCTTTCCTGTTCGATAGGCATCTGACTTCCCTGTCATTCTGTCTCTGGAGAATCACTGCTGTGTGGAGCAGCAGACCGTCATGGCCAAACACATTAGAGTCATCTGTGGGGACACGCTACTGACCACCCTGCTGAATGGACAGGTCCCTCAACAGCTTCCGTCTCCACAGGTTAGAATCAGATTGTTTTGTATTTCTTTTTGAAGAAATTCATAGGGGGAGGTACCCTGGGATTCATTTTTACTTACAATCTATCATGACACACACATATCTAAATGTCAATATAACATTTTGTTTTATAGAGACATTCATGGTCCCCCGAGAAATGTCCTACAGACTTTTATGACCCCATGACTTTTCATTTAGTGTCACTAGTCACATTTAAGAGAGCAGTGGATATGGTTTAGTGGCGTCTAGCAGTTTAGTTCACCTCTCCCTTTACAAATGGATTAGAACCTGAAGTGGCATTTAGGTAACATTAAAACTCGAAAGGCCCTCTCAATTTTCAGCCTTTTGTTTGTCTTTTCTGGGCTGCTATGACAAAAAAAGAACCTGGCTGTGACCCTGGCTGACTATGTAGATATGAAAGATTTACTCTAAACTAATCCAAACCCCAAATGGTGACTAAATACCTGCAAACATATGTCATTCCCATTAGCACAGCTTTACTGAGTTTTGTGCTAATAGCAAATATTCGAATGCTAACACACTAAACTAAAAGGGTAAACAATAAACATCCTAAACATCATGCTAACATGTTAACACTGTGTTCGTGAGGATGTTAGCATTGGCATGTTAGCGTCTAGCCTATTGAGCCTTTCAGAGATGCTACCATGGCTGTCTTGTTGTTTCATATTGCAGTTTAAGTGTAAACATCTCCATTATTATAACGTTAAAGTCTTCAGTTAACATTCTGCTCTGGGTCAGTGTTTCACTGATGGAACTGAAACGTTTTCAGACTATACCCAGCCATTAGCAATTCCGATACAATAAACAAATCAATGGTAGTGTGTACCAATGCCCAACCCAGTCTCATGGCATTTCGTGTTCACCAACACGATTTTTAATCTATTGATTCGTGTTCACCAACACGATTTTCTCCTTTTTTTCGTGTTGCACAGCACGATTTTAAAAGCAATGTATTTCTACTGGTAATGTGTTTCGTGCCTGCAGCACGTCTTTTTCTCCGGTCGGGTCGTGGAAGACCGGAAGCTGTGTGGTTCATAAAAACATGTTCTTACTCAATATCAAGCCACAATTATTGCTTTTATTTTAAATCGTATAATTTCGGACTTTTGTTGCCATCTGTGAGGAAAATAAATGGGGCTCAGAGCCTCAGAATACTGANGTTTTCATCAAACTGTATCGGCGAAAACAAGCAGTCGGCAGAGTCTTTGACATAATCTGTGGATTCGTCCTAACTGTAAAGCAATATTTCCCTTTCTTCACTCTGTCAATCAGCTGACATTTTGGGGATTATCTCCCTTGGGCCATGTCCGTGATCGCCGGGATATGGCCCGTCAGACAGCGGCACTGCCTTCCAGCTCCTGGTGCCTTTTTATCCCCATGCATCTGCCCTACTCATAGCGGATAGCCAGCAGTTTTTAATTAGGGTTTCCCGATTGTGTGTGGCTTTTTTGCTGTGCAACTTCAACATACTCTCCACCTCATATGAATGCCCTTTTTGAGCTTGGTAGGATTGTTGCTTGGTTTAGTTATAACTTCTTTTGGCTTACGCAATTCTCTCTTGCTTTCCGGCGGACAAAATCTGCTGGTTTGAGGTAGCAAAGAGAGGTGTGCTTCTTTGTTTAAATGTCTGAGCATTTTTACCGGGCTTTAAGCTCTCAATGTGCAAGAACCTCAGTGCCACACTACACATTGGGATGTTGTGCAATTCATTGATAATGAGGCATGTGAATCCGTAACTGGATGTATTCCTCTCGATACTTGCACACCTTGGATGAAGGCGGTCTGAGCTGCATACTGGACGCCTTACGGTTTCTGCCTCCTCCTGCTCCTCTCCTCCTCCCTCCCTTCACCACGACGGCGCGCGTACGTTCCCGCCAAGAAGTCGATCGGCCTTTGGTGTGGCGGCTTCCGCTCTCCTCCGCTGCCTTTCTCTGCTGGCCTGTCTGCCTTCTCACTAGTTGGTATTAACCAACGTTTCATTTTGGAAAAATGTATTAAGAGCTGTTCACGAAGATAAATTACCTAAGTATAGTTGATGTGTGTTTACGTCTTGCAAATGATACTGTCGAAATCTGTCAGAATCAACAATTCCTTTAATTTGTCCCGCTACCTATTAAACAGGCTACATAATACAAAAATGTCTATGCACACAGTTATTATTATTAATAATAATACCAAATAATAATAATTAAAAAATATATTTTTTAAATATATATTTTTTTAAAACACCTCAGGCGTTTCACATCAAGAAGGATTCTGAAATCATCTTGCGACCCCCCCCGGGGGTCGCGACCCCCACTTTGGGAACCCCTGCTCTAGTGAACAGAAGCATTAAGGAAGGAGTCAGTCTCAACAACTCAGAGGGAGTGAATGCCTTTCATTGAGCTCTTTGTAGCCTCTCACAGAGTGGAGGACGTACAGGAAGCAGAGGTGGGACTGCAGCACTCCGTCTGAAGGCGCTGCGACCCACTTCGACAGGTGCCGACTGATAATTGGACGTCTTGCCGGCAACAAAGCGCAGCGCCGCTGTCTCCTCGAGCTCATTACTATCACTCAGAAGTTCCCCTTAAACCCTCCACAGCCACGTGACTCAACGTTTTTTGTAGACCAACGGCTAAAAGCCCATGATCGAGCCTGGACGTGTTGTTTGGACGGGTAAATGACTGTGCTCAGCATGAGGGAGCGTGGAGAGCAGAGGTTACACACAGGTTCAACTGCACACTAATACACACTCATAATAAGTTCCAATCAATGGAGTGGTGCTGCATTATTGCATAGCAGGTTGGGAAGAGTTAACAGGGTTGTTAATTCGCTTCAGACAGCAAACAATACGCTCACTTGTACCTCCGACAAAGAGGTTGTGTGTTGGTTTTGTTGTTAGTAACAAAACAAAAAACTGGCCAGTATTCTCTATAACATGGGACAAGGGTGTCGCATGGGACAAGGAAGAAGCAACTTCTGGAAGGGATCAGATATCATGGGTCCTCCTCCTTGACTCATGTATGCATGGTATGAGTGTGTTTTATTTTATCTTTCTGCCTTCAGTATGAATGACGGGTGCTTGGTGTGTTTTTGGTTTGGTCTGTTTTCTCCCTTCCCCCTCCTGTCTTCTCTCCTGCTTGTACTCACCTGGACCAAATCAGCAATCAACACACTTGCCCTGCAATCAAGCCAGCTCCAGTATTCAAGCCTGCTGTCCCTGCCGGATCGTTGCTATACATCAGTGTTTTTCAAAGTGGGGGCCACGACCCCCCGGGGGGCCGCCAGGGGGGTCACGCAAAGTTTGAGGGAAAGGGGAATTTTTTTTTTTTTTTTAAGTTACCTTTTTTTTTTTATAGATTTGATTAATGACTGCATATCTATCAATCTATGTGTCCTTTGATGCCGATCTTTTAATATTTTGTACTTATATATATATTTTTTTAAATCACACGACCGCCCTTCAAGCCAATCAGAATCGAGCTGCCGCTACTGAGCAGACTTCCGCGACGCGTGGGTGAAGCTGTCCACGGCTGAACTATTAACCTCGCAGAACGGCCGTTGTTTCGCGTCGCGGCGACAGAGGAGCTCAGTAATGATAGTGAGCTTCAAGGGGAATTTGGGAGGTGTCGTGCAACTGAGTTGCAAAACACATCAGGTTGCCAATTTTCGGGTACTAGCTCGCGACCCTCACCAACAACCTGCCCATTTACTGACACGAGTCGTCTCTCTCCGCACCCTCTCGTCTCTCAATGTGTTGGTCCAAGTTGACGTGTTGATTCATGTTGTGAGTATTTATTCAAGGTTAGTGTTACCTTCACCACGACGTAATAATACGGTATTCGTCCAACCCCTTTCTCTAATTGTCCCAACAATTAAGCTGAAGTCTGTCGTTTGTTTATGCCTGTGAGTTGAACATTGGAGGTCTGTTCTCCATACATCACAACCCAAAACAACAATCATTGTTTTTGTTTTTTGACTCGGTCATAAGAGATCATTGTTACCCTTTAACTACTACTGAGACGTACTCTGTTCATCTTTATTGAGATTTGCCTCGTGACAGTACCCAGGAGGGAGCTGAGTAAGACGTGTCCAGTAGTCAGACATAAAGAAGTCGGAGTCATACTTACTGCTCACGAACCACACACCTCCGAACCAGATAAAGTATGAGGGACAGGTGCTAGGACAGAAGAACGAACATGCTATGTGGACGTGGTTTTAGTCGCTAGTTGTTATTAACGGGCCGTAGAACATTCGGCGAGGTCATAGGTTTGTCGGACTGACCCTTAGTTTACGGCCTAGCACCGATATGTGAGTCTTACAAATAGTTTCTCCAAGGGTGCTGAACGGTACGGCTTCTGGCGGTCTATCGTGCGTAGCAGACCGCCCCTTTACCAACGTGAAAGAAAAAAAAAATTACTAATAGAAGTAATACTACTCTTAATTACTGTTAATTAGATGACGTATATATAGTAAATACTATAGGATAACTACAGCTATAATGTAATTAGTCAATACATGAATATATGTAAAAAACATAATTATAGTGTGCAAGAGGTAAGTTCTGTTAGTTTAGCTCGACGGCGATGACAATATCACTTGACTCACTAGCGAGTCGATACTTTGTCACTTTAGTGTCACTTTATAAATATACGTACATACTTCAATACGTGCATACATCATTATACTATAAATAGATATACTGTCATATTATACTTGTTACAATTATATAAAAAATCCGTAAAAACTTTCGATGATACAATCATATATTTATTATAATTGTCAATAATTGTTATTATAAATATAAGGTATATCTAGTTTGTAGTTATAAACGATGTTAGGCACGAGAGTAGGTCGACGTCTCGATTTAATCAAGTGATCGAGAGTGAACGAGGTTTTCGACTCGTCTATGAGTNTTTTATAATTTTGTCCGGAAGATTTAAACTTTAACACACGTTGACTGGCGAAAAACTCTGCCCGGTTTCCTCGGCCCCCACCGCGGAGAATAAACAGAAGGGCACTTCTGTTTATTCTCCGCGGTGGGGGCCGAGGAAACCGGGCAGAGTTTTTCGCCAGTCAACGTGTGTTAAAGTTTAAATCTTCCGGACAAAATTATAAAAGTCAAAGGTCTTCTTTGTTATCAAAATAAATCTATATAATATAATAATATAATACATGGAGCCTCTCTTTTTCCTCCCTCTCTTCGGACAACGTCAGTGTCTGTCTCAAGCAGCAGCTGATCCAGTAATGAGTGACCCGGCCGACAGCAAAAATAAACATATTTATAACTAGTTTAGGTAGTTTGAGAGGTAATTAAAATAGCTAAGGGTGATGATCTGACTTGAAGTGTGTGTTTGCTCCGTTCACCGCTGCATCACAGCGGGAGGAGCTGCAGGTGAGCAGAGCTGCGTGTCTCCGTCCTGTCAGATTAGACTTCACTCGCGTCCATATCGAGAGAAAGATAAATAATCTGAATTCAGTGTGCAGTTTACTTTGACGCGGGGGTGAGAAGCAGAGGTGGGGAGAGGCAGGGCTATTGCGTCATCATTATCAGAAAATGATCGTATAGGCAGGGCGTACACACGGAGCCGTTGGACCCCCCAGAGCGTTGCGTATGCCGTTTTATCCACCTTGGGACCCGTTATCGTTTCCGCAGTTGTTTACTGTCCTGGAGCCGAAACTGGAGTCGGGACCATGGCTACTGGGGCCGGTACTGAAGCCGGAACCATGGCTGCTGGGGCCGGAACTGGGGCCGGAACCATGGCTGTGTGGGCCGGTTCTGTAGCCGGATCCATGGCTGCTGGGCACGGAACCGGAACACGGAACATGGAACACGGAACCATGGCTGTGTGGGATGGTACTGGAGCTGTTTACATATTCGGTCGTCCTCGTGTGGCCGAACGGTCTATATGACACTAAACAGTAACGCAAACGACCGTTTTTGTCCTCGTGTGGCCGGGGCCTCAGTTAAGCCCGATGAGAGGGGATACAGCTGTGCACATGTCATCATTAACCGACGTCGTTTAAAAGTGACGTTTGAGTGAACGAGGACATCCCAATTAATACCCGAGGACTCCTCTGTCCTCGCGTCGCCTCCTCGTGTCTCTCGCTCGCATCTTACGGAGGCGGAGCTAAGACGCAAGGAAGGGAAGCGAGTGAGGGGAAAGGAGGAGTCGAGGAGGGGTATTGGGATGAGGCTTCTCTCTCTCTCTCTGTCTCGCTCGCTCACAGAGGTTGTGTGCTCCTCCGTGGCGATGATGGCTTGACGTTAAAAAACAAACATATTTGTAAAGTGGGGGCTATTGAGGGCTTGCGAGATACCGGTAGCTCGTGATCGACGTGTTGGAGACCCCTGCTCTAATGGGTCCGACTAGAACAGGGGTGGGGAACATCCAGCCCCCGGGCCGTATACGGCCCGCGAGACCATTTGGTACGGCCCTCGAGGTCATTTATAAACACACGCAAAAAATAAAGAAATTAAAGAAATCTAGACCGCAAACAAATTAAACAAAGCGAGTGCCTGTTTTNGGTTTGGGTGACTTACAGGACAAGGTCAGCAATTCTTTGCAGTTGGGACAGTTTTAGTAATATTTGTAACAGAGTGGCTTACATAGATTTTAAGACTGAGGACCTTTCCACAATGATATCATTCCAATCCCAAATACCACCTCACGACTAGTATTTAAACTATTTTCTCTGACCTATTTATCGTTTTCACATACGTGCTTACAGGGTCTGAGTATAAAACTAAAGAGCCTCTCGGGTGTCTTTTTTTGGTTTCAAAGAAATTGTTAGTCCATGGAGTCTCCCTTCTTAACCCAGTAAACAACCTTTTACATGCGAAATTATGTCACATTTTCACGTGGTGTCAGTGTAGTGTATTCATGCGTGATTTATTTTCAGAGTGTCTGTTGGTTAATATGTCATTTTATTTCATAATAACGTCCCCAGTAAGGTTTCTTATATCAATCAATAAAACTTAATTATCATTTTACGTAAATTACGAGGAGTGAATTACAACATCCGGACATTGCCTTGATAAGTTGAATTAATAAACACACGAAAAAGAAGGTCATATCAGGTTACATAAAAATAATAAAATGATGTTAAACGGAGGTGACTTCTTGAACAATAGTTGAGGACTCAGCCTTTAGTCACTATCTCCGTCTCGTTAGTTCGTTTTGTGTCTCAGTAAGGGTAATACGCGGGAAAGACGGGTGTCCGGACTTGAGGGTACTCGTCTCGTCGCTCTCTGGCTCGCTTGCTCGCCGTGGACAACGAGTCTTGCGGCGACACCGTGTAGGACTTGGACGCGGAAGTACTCCTTGGCCCGTTGTGGGTAATTCAGGCCTTTTAGTCAGGGGGACCCGATGTGTGGAATGGATAGGTATGTCCCAAGTTTTGGCACGGAATCAGTTAACCCGTAAACGTTTGAAGATTACACGTCATCAATTGACTCTGTCCACTCCGTTTTAGACAGTCTTTTGCTGCTTTTCCAGTCTCTCTGTGTACGTTTCAAAGGGAACGTCTTGTCGTTTCATAGCTAACTTATAATACACAATAGGTCAACTTCGTCGCCCCGGTGTCGAGGGTTCCCTTGGTCTTTCTCCCCCAGTATCTATTGGGGACCGTCCTTCCTCTGGTCCTGACGGTGTCTGGGTCCGGTTTCTTTCTGTTCAGTGTTTTCGTTGTTCCACTTTGTGTCTTTGTTTGTATATAACATTTGTACCTACCAACTACTATACTCTCGTGTACGTCAGCAGTACGGGAGGGTTGCGGGAGACGGACCGTCCCGAAATTGGGCACCCTTCTTTGAGATCAGTCGGTGTGGGGCTCGCTGGGCAAGGGACTCCTTCCTGATGCTTGTTCTGTAAAGGTCCTTGCTGAAAGTACTCGAAGTGAGATGGCTCCCCCTCACCTATCTGGCAGCCCACGCTCCACATGTCCTGCGGGTTGTAGTTGGAGGAGTCCGTCCTCCGGCCTGCTGGGTAAATCCTGCTCAGCTGCCGTGTGTGGTACTGCACAAAATCTGTCCCTGAAGAGAGCATAAAATATGTATAACGTATAATAGTAACATCAAGGATATAACATGCACTTAAGCTGTTCCCGGCTGTTCCCTCGTGATGGTGGTACCTGTGTCTTTAGCAAGCCTCTTGGCCTTGGATTCGGAGAATGAGGACATCTCGGAGCACTTGCCGTATGAGCGGGCGTACTCAAAGCCGTGGAAGTGAACACTCTTACAGTAAACCACCAAGTCTGACAGCTCCTTAGAAAGTTTGGCCTTGGATTTCTGCAAAATGGGAGAATAAAATTCCAAAAAAAGTCAATGATTAAATCTGAAACCCACCACTTCAAACATCAACAGCATGTATGGTGAGCAGTGGCCACAAGGTTGGAATGTAACCCTGAAAATTAGGCCAGTAATTAAATTATATTTTTAGTTGTCAAATTAAATTGCAACTTATTTAAAAAGTTTAGAATTACATAATAAATACTTATTTATCTGTTTAAATACTAACTAAAACTTAAATAAAATAATTGAAATTGGTCTTGAAAAATATAAATAAACGAATAATTCAAAAATAATTTGTTCTTAAGTTCAACAAAACCCTCAAATCACTCAGTAAGGGCAATGATTACACAATTATGTAGCTATTAGAAACTAAATATATTTCATATATTTATTATATAAATGCTTTTGCTGAATTCCATTATTTTCTAATTTATTTCAGCATGCATGGGAACAGAGTCCAAATTCTTTAGAAGAGATTCTTTAGAATATTACATAAATTCTTCGGACAACAACACAATTTTTGTGATGTCTCAATGTCTGTTGTAACCTCGATTTGACTTGAATTAGAATCAAATTTTTCTACAAAACAAAAGAAATAGACATCCTGTAGTTCACATTCCTCATGCAAGTGCAAATCATATCAGTTAAGAATTGTACATAAAGCTGATGATATGTATCAATTTTTTTTTGTTTACATTATAAATATTTGCTAAACTGGTCCAGATTGATGGACACCTGTAACTAGGTAATTATCCATTTTGTATGCATTTTTACACAAACTATGATCACGTTTTTTGGTTGCAGTTTTGTTTAGCTGTTGACAAAACGTTCCAACTTTTTTCACACAGTTAAATGTTTCATGTCAGCAGTGGGCAATTTGCTGAGTAATTATTATTTAATTACTGGAATGTTAATGAAATCGTTAAGAGTAGATAAAAAGACAACGCCGCATTAATGTGGCTCAATCAAAGCTTCAAACAAATCTGGTTAAAACAATTAGGATTCCTTCCATCTCTCATTACCTCTAATTGAATCGTTATTGCCGTTAATCTCTCACTGCCCATGGGGAATGCTGTGGCTGAATTACAATATTTTCAATATCACACATGGCTATAAAACAAACAACAAGGTTTCCCCACAGCTAAGAAGAAACATATTGGATGCTGTCTCTCATATCTGTCTTCGTTTCCTGGTTCTTTTCACTATCTCCCTTCTTTGTCTTCAGTCTCGCCACTCCGTCTCTTATGTCCAAACCCAGTTTCCTGTCTCTCTCTACAATCAAGCTCCATTCACTCCTGATTTACTATCACTCTTGATACAATTCTCTGTGTACTTCTCATCAACTATCTAACAAAACACTTAGACTTAAAAAGAACAAAGGCTCTTTCTTAGATTCAAAGAGATCAAGACATCAAAGTGCATCAGACTTTATAGAAAATCCATCAAGTATCATACCTTCCCATCGCGGTTCAAAGTCCCAGCTGGTGGTTCCTCTGCAGAAAGGCTCTCAGCTTCATGGTTGGTCATCTCTTCCTCATCGCTAATGTCATCTGTCAGGGTTTCATCGAGACTGCCTTCTGTACTGCTTATTTTCTTGGCTTTCAGCAAAATCTTACCTTTCAGCTCCTGTAAGGAACACCAGGCACAGATTGGTGAGAGCAGTTTGTTTACACACTGTCCTGTATTAGATCCTCGCCTCTTCTTCAATTGCTTTATTATTCTGTCTTTTTTTTTAATAACTGAGTTGATTTCAGAACTTAATCTAATACAGAAAAAAGACCAGAGTGACAAAACAGCAAAATGACCTTGTGTCACACTCCTAGGTTTATGTCACGGTTTTAGTGTTGTCTGTCTGGTTATGGGTTTTGTAAGTCTTTTCATTCGGTGTTTTGTCTTCCTCCTTAGCCTCATTCCAATACCCCTCCTCGACTCCTCCTTTCCCTCACTCGCGTCCCTTCCTTGCATCTTAGCTCCGCCTCCGTAAGATGCGAGCGAGAGACACGAGGAGGCGAGGCGAGGACAGAGGAGTCCTCAGGTATTAATTGGGATGTCCTCGTTCACTCAAACGTCACTTTTAAACGACGTCTGTTAATGATGACATGTGCACAGCTGTATCCCCTCTCATCGGGCTTAACTGAATAACCCTTTAGAACCGGCCCATTTCTGGTTAAATATGTATTNTCAGGATCCTCAGTGTCCACATCTTTTTCAGGGCGCAAAGGCCACATGCCAGGGCACAAAGGCCATTGAGGGAAAAATTTGGATTTGGAGCTGACAAATAAATATATTTGTCAGCTCCAAATCCAAATTTTTCCCTCAATGGCCTTTGTGCCCTGGCATGTGGCCTTTGCGCCCTGAAAAAGATGTGGACACTGAGGATCCTGAAGCTGCTGACTCTCTCCACCGTAGTCCCATTGATGGCGATGGGGGGGGGGGTTTCCCTCTCTCTGATGCTTCCTGTAATCCACAATCAGCTCCTTGGTTGTACTGAATTAAATAAATAATTCATTGCATTTATTTTTAACGCATTTACAAGTGCTCAAATCGCTTAACATTACATATATCAGACAAGTAATACATCATTACTGCAGACAATACCCAAGAGAGCAATTTAGGGTAAAGTGTCTTGCCCAAGGGCACAACGGCATGTTGACTGCAGTGGCGGTCAGGGCGGGATTGAACTGGTGATCAGGGCGATGGCGGTGGTGTCAGCTAACTTGATGATGGTGTCGGAGCTGTGTGGATTAACCCTTTCTAAAGGTTTTGTACACATCTTCCCTGTTTAAAACAAGAGGGCAGGGACTTGTCCAGCGCTGTTTAGTCCTTGCCGTTTGAACTTCTGCCTTTAAGCAGGCAGCAGCAGAAGTGAGATTTGGAATGACTTGCGAAAGGGGTGTTGGTTGAGGGTCTTTTATCCACTCCGAAAAGGGGAATAAACATGTTTGGAAGTCTGTCGACAGTATAGTACAGTACTCTATCTGACCTAGTAACAACTCATTGGGCTGTTCAATATTGAACAGGTTATTTAATGCTTCAGAAAGCAGGCACAACAGATAAATATGACAAAAAATTTAAAACATGTTAAGGTACCAGGTAAAACTCCTGTTGTCTGTGGTACAATATAGTCATTAGTGCTTACCGGCATAGTGTAATTGTGACATCAAATAAGATTCACTCACAACTAGCATCTCTATACTAGCTTTTCACTTGTAACATCATTTCATAAGCATGTTCAAATACATAATTTGAATTACAGTCTTCCATGATAATAGAAACATTAACCGGCTTAAAAAAATATTGCATGTTCAAATAATGCATGCAAGTTTCTTTCTCCTTTGTTGTCTTTAAAAAATAATACTTTGTAAAACATGACTGCAGTTTATGAGCAGGGGAGTGCTACAGAGGAAGAAGCTCATTTTGTTGAGACTTTTAGCTTCAATTATCCCCAACATTTAAAAAAAAACTCTTTAAACACTTTCAAGTGCAAATCTTACTCTATGCTGTGCTTTTTATTGCAAGAAGCAGTGTGTTTTCTGTCCCTAAAGAAGAAGCTTCATTCAGAGACTTCTCCACCGTGGTGCGTTTCTGGAGGAGCGTCAAGCAGCTCAAACATGTCATCAATGACCTGCCACAGGCAGCTCTCCAGAGGAAAGTCATTGTCCACCAGATTTACCAGGAAGTAGTTGTCGTGGATATACTTGATGATCATTCGTGAAGGAGACTCTTCCTCGTAGAGGTTGGCCCACTGCTCGATCCACAAAGCAAAGGCCTCGTCCTATGGAGACATGGGGAAAGGATTGTCGTTAGGCCTAAAACCTGTGAGTGTTCTAAAACCCCTTTTACACTCAAATTAGTTCTGTGCTGGTGCTAGTTGGATGCTTTGTTGCACCATCGACAGGATCCTGACCCTCTACAGGTGCACCTGTCTTGCGGCGAACAACTTAAAAAAAAGTGTAATCTTCTTTTTGGCTTCCATCTACCAAAGCCCTGGAGAAGCCACGTCATGATGTCACCGTTTACCTTTATGCAACGCCAACATCTTGCTCTTAGTCTTTGAATTGTATAACGACTTCTCTCCATAGTGAGGTGGTTACTTCTTTGCCATTATAATTCCGCTGCCATAGCTGACCGCTGGAGTGGTACGTCAATGATGGTGCTCTACCAGCATTTAGCCTATTGTCTCCCAACGTCAGTGGCCGCTGGAAAGTAGTACCGTAATTTTCGGACTATAAGCCGCGCCTTTTTCCCTATTTTTCGACGCTGCGGCTTATATAACGGTGCGGCTAATCTATGGATTTTTACAGCTAACGGCCAACACCTTTAACTCTATGGGCTCTATGGCCGGTCCGCGGACCCCCACCTTTAAGTGGCGGGTTCCAGCAGGAAAAGCTGGAGGCCGGAAAAGACTGAGACAGGTAGCGCGCAAAAGTAAAAGTGGAACCGAGAGTGGTATGCCGCTGCTGCGGCTTATATTCAGGTGCGCCTTATAGTCCGAAAATTACGGTAATCCACCGTCTGACTGTAACAACAGTAACATCCCTGATGCTAATTTCCCCATAATTTAATCGTTTTTTCAGTTTTTATAGATAATGTTTGGCTTCATAGTGTCAATGAGTAAACATTTGAATGAGTAGGCACTTGTTGCCATTGTGACAAGTTCTATTTTACAGACATATTTAATCAGCGTATCCGTCACTATGATCCATCTGTGATCAAACTTGTGATTGTATTTATTACACCTGGTAGTTGGTATTAAAAAAACAACAGAAGTCACAAGTATACATGGTAAATGTTGCATGCCGTTTATATAACGAGTATGGTCGAGTTGCCACTTTACGTTTTTGGCACTACTGCTTCTGTAACAGCTTTCTACTCTCCGCTGTAATCGTCATGAACTGTTATTGCTCAGGTTAATCTGCTCAGATGGCAGCCTCAATTTTTGACATACGCGGTTCAATGTTTTTGGTTCTGGCAGAGAAGCTTGGGACTGAAATTGAACAAGTTTTTTGCAGGCGCTGCAGTGAAAACACAAAACAGGGTCGCCGCAAAGGCCCTGAAACCATCTTTAAGGGGTAAACACATGTTGTGTTAAAGAGACTGTTTGGATATTTTGAAGTGTGCTTGTATGAACATCTGCTCCCAGTCAGTGTTTTACCCTACATTACAGACAACTCCGAGAAACAGTTCGAAGCATTAGTAAAACTAGAAGAGCCCACTGTCTGCCAGGAGGGTAGAGGCTACCTCCATGTAGAGCTGCAGGACAGACCAGAAGCAGCGTGTACAAACTGCTTTATATACACTACAAAAATATGTTATCGCGCCGGGCTGATTCTGTCAGACAGCTGAGTCACATAAGACATGTTATTTGGTATTAATACTTTTTATTGGAAGTGTGTCAGTATGCCAGGGTCTTGTGATGCCAAACCTAAAGAACATCAATACAAGGGAAGTAAATAAAGACAGGTTTTGGTTCATGGCTACTTTGAGTTTCAAGGTCTACACATGTTTTAGTACCTCAAGTTTGTCATCCGTAAATATGTATTTTTCCAAATGTTAATCTATTGCAGTTCCATTTTTTACACAAATGCACACTATAGGGAGATGAAGGTGTGCATTAGTCAGGGTCCACTACAGTGGGCTGGACAACGTAACAATGAGGTCACTTCCTATCTCCACAACGTTTTTAAAAGCCCTTGTTTTTGGCCAATGCTTCGCACCTTAATCTTGTATAATTTTTCACTGGAAGAAAACAAGCAATTAGCAGAATGCTAATCATTCCCGAATCTCTGCACAACTCTATCTTACCTTCCAAAACATAAAGCTGACTGGGTCCACTACAGTGGGCTGGACAATCTCCCTTCCAGGAAAGATGCCCCATGTCACAGCGTTAGGCTGCATGTCAGGGGCGTTGGTCAGGTTACGGCCCTTCAAACAACATATTCATTGGGACATATTAATAATGCATATTCAGACACAAAACATGGAGTTAAAAGGTGCTCAGTAAAAACGTACGAGCACATTAACGATGTGGTAGTTGACACGGGGCTCGTACTTTTTCAGTACTTTGAGGAGAGCAGTCACATTTTCACTAGAAGTGAAGAACTCCAGATAGGCCTGTTTGATGTAAAACAAGAGGACTGAGGCATATCAACTTGTCAGACAAAAACACCCGATTCGCCAACCTGTCCATCCAGAAGGCACAATCAAGAAGAAAGAAGAGGTCCTACCTTCTGAAAGACGTAGCCTCCTGCAGGTCCCCAGCCTGCTACAGGGTCTGTGGAGGGTTTGCCGTTTATGTTGGGCTGGGAGTTGATGGTGAGGACTCCTCGTCTGTTCACTTTCTCCAGCTCGTCCTTCAGCAGGTTGGTTTCTGGGGCCAGAGGCTCATCATTCCATGGCAAACACTTCACCTAGCATGAGAGAAAACAAACATGGTGTATTTGTTGACAGTTAATGCTTCAAAGCTATGGGCTAACTGTTGGGAGAGTTCAACAGATTAGGATTGTATTACTTTCTCCAGAGTGAAAACAGATATCAGCCCTGTCTGTGCATCAAGTACAGAGCATGAGTCAGGACATGGTAAACCCAGTTTAGGATGAAGACGTTTAACCCATCTTTAAGAAAGAGCTATATTAGGGGATGTTTATCTCCTCTTGCATATCTCCAAATTGCTTTCCAACTAATTACGCTGGGCATCATCATCTCTTCAAATCACCAGATCCAAACATATTCAAGTGAAACTAATGAACCTTTGGAAATAAATAATGAATGTATAGAGTGTTATTCTTCACACTCATCAAAACCAAGATTCGGACAAACACGGACTGAAGGCAAAGAACAATGTCTTAGGTCACATTCACACCAGCCTTGTTTAGTCCGATTGAATCAAATCCTGGCAGGGGCGACGCCAGGGGGGAGCTAGGGGGTGCTGAAGCACCCCCCAGGATTGCCAAAGCACCCCCTAAGCACCCCCAAGAAATATATGTGTTTTTTTTTTTTCCCACGAAAATTATTATTATTATTTTTATTAAATTAAATCAGGAAAATTATTGATTGCATCAATGCAAATGTGAAACAAACAAATGTTTGACCAAAAACATAAAGCCAACACAGGTGATATGATTAGGCCAATGGCCAGCACCCATTAGATTTTTGACCTACCCATAGGCTAAATTATTTTGTGACACTTGAGTGACTTCCTGTTAGCTGGAGCCCCAAATTATTTGCTAACAGCAAAGTGACAAATGGATCGTTTTTTTGTCCTTAAACATCCATGTGTGGACACTCAATCAAAACCAACTGAAAGCGAAAGGTATTCTGCACATAATAGGCCTCGTGAGTACAAGTAGCTTACTTCTGGGTCTCTGTGTTTCATTCAAGCTCTGCTCTGTGTGTGTGTGGCACGAGCCATTTTGTGTGAGTGCGCGAGCGAGAGAGAGAGCTCGCGCACCGGTGGGTATCTACCGGAGATCGTTGTGGTTAGCATCTGGTGCTAGCTAGCCAAGCTAACGGATATAAGGAGCTTTTTCAACAACAAGGTGGAGGGAGAACTCTCTCCTGTCAGACTGAGAGTCTCAGATAACCTCAGCTCAGGTGAAGTAAAGGACTCTCAGTGTTTAGGTGAAACCGGCCAATGGAGAACGGCCAACTCACTGGCTAGCTCGCCCAGAAGTGAAATCGCCAATAACAAATAACTAGGGAGGAGCATCGATACAACTCCTCCCCACCTGTGTATAAATATCATGATATTCTTATGCTTGATGCCCTTCTGACTGACCGTCTCCGATATCTGCATCGCACGGTAACACAATTAATCCCAGAGTACTCTGTATTTTGTATTGTTGTCTTTTACCATTAAAGCAGATTATTGTTTAACCCTTATCCTGGTTGCTTTGAGTTTTCCTTCTTTTAAAACAAACTTATAGAGGAACGGCGCAGAGCAGGAGAGGTTCTGCCCCAACAGCACAAAGTGAACACACTCCTCATAGTGGCAGCTCTCAAGACAAAAGCTCCCTTCTAACATGCCCCTCAGCAGATACTTGTTTCTATTTGGTCTGATCTCATGTGTGTAATTTAAACTGAACCCAGCTAGATCAAACAGGAACTGAAGTATTCATTTCACTCTACTTCGAATGAGCAAACTGGATTATGGCTAATAAAACGATTTTTTTTGTTGTTGTGCTCCCCTGGGATTCATTAAAGACCTTTTCAATCATCTCACCTTTTACTCTAGCTTTTGGACTTCTTTGGAGCGATGTGTTTTCAGACACCACTAGTGTCACATACACATTGTATTCAAACGCTGTCCAAAATTTATTGTTTTTCTGGCCTCATTTCTCCTATTTTGTGATTTAACAACATTTCCCAGAATGCTTTTCATGAAGTGTTCAGCTGCAGGTGAAGAAGAGATTTCCCGACTCACAACCCAACCTGCCTCTTTGCTGCAATGCATGCTGGTCTTTTTCTTCTTCTGTGGGTGTATGCATTGACCTCTTTGGCTCTTCTTCAGTGGATTACTCTCCGACTATCTGTACAGTTGATCCTTGAGATCACAGGTACATGTGTTTCTGTAGCTCTGACACCTGGACAGAGGTCACAGTGCTGTGCTGTCTGTCACATGTTGATGAGGGTGCCGATCGTTCAGTGTCATACTGTTAAACATGTGGATGCATTTAACTGGGTCGTGGCCTTTTCACATTGTGCCACTACAATTTGTATCAAAATATAACAGCCCTTGCTGCAACATGTTTGTGTCACTTTATTGGATCATCAGCTCTTTATGAGGAACTGCTTCACACTGTGAGTCTGTGAGCACGTCATCAGAGATGTGGATTTGAGATCAAACTGAAGGTCAAGTTTGTAAACATATCTGTGGTCTGAGTTAGGGGAAGTAAGGTCTGACATTGCGCTGCTGTGATCTGATCTCTATAGTTACTCAGTCAAACTGGTGATAAGAGTTTGTGATCATTTCTGATTTTTATTTCCTGATATATTACATTTGATTTGCGTGTTTTTGTAAATACAATGATCAGATTCAAGATTGTATCTGTTAAATGTAGCTTCATCTCCAATGAAGAGAACCATGATTTTAACCATATGACAACCAACTAGTGCTGTCAATAGACTGACAAAATGAATTGGTCATGATTAATGACAAGATCAATGCTAGTATTTTTGAGGAAGATAAAACTAATACAGGTGTGGTGTTGTAATAAAGAAATGCATGACACACTGTAACAGAAAAACCCTAAATCAGACATGAGACAGTTGTCAGAAAACATTGTTTGGGGACCCGATGGTATGACCATCAGGGGGGTCCTGCTCACAGTGGTGCGTCTGTCAGAATGAACCCTGAGGCTCTCGGCTCTGTAATGCTCAGTGATGATAATTATCTAACAGACATACGAGAGCCTGGGAGCTAATTAAAGAGTATCACAGTCGCCTGTCAACTGTCCTCCTGTCGACGGTGAGGTGCTGAAAGTTTCATTAGACGTCTAAAAATAAATACCCCCCCATGCTCCGACACCTCACTGCCTCACCTTTTCTTCATCATAGCCGACTCTTCATGTTGCTCCACTCTCATGGGCTGCATCTAATCCGCCATGGGGATGTTGGGGGTTCGATCACACGGACAGGAGGGGGTCCCCCGGCCCTTGACCGGGGAGAGCATTTAGAGTGAGGGGTCACTGAGCAGAAGAAACTAAAACTGGAGAACTCCCAATCAATGTGTTCAGATCACACTGTCTCTGCAGCAGTGCACATCACATCTGGAGTTAGACACACACTCTGTCCTGGTTCAGAACCCCTCATTCCGTCCTGGTTCAGAAATCGAAATCGCGATTTGAAATGATGCGATTATCAAATCGCAAAGCCTGCCATTTTTTTTTAACATTTTTTGTTGTTTTTCTTCTTGTGTGTCAGTTATCCACACCAATCAGAAGTGCTGTGCTCCACATGTATCAGCCATTGTTAACCAATCAGAAGTGGCCCATGATAGAAGGTGATAGACAGATTGATCCAATCACCTGCCAAGTATTTTTGAAAGTGCCTGCCCTTTCCAAATGGCTTCCAATGGAGCTTTCCTAGATGGTTTGGTGAAACAAATCATCTGAGTCAGGTCAGTAATGCTCCATCACATGTTTCTATTACAGAGTGAATCTTAAACTGAAGCTTGACTTTAAAGCAACCCAACGGAAGTTTCATGTAAGTTTAGTTCTTTCACTCGTTGCTCGGGCTGCGGGGGTGCGAGAGACGGGAGCACGTTGATACGACCTTCCTAGCCGGAGAAATGGCAACATTTTACAATAAACTTCCGTTGGGTCGCTTAAAAACAAATATCGCAATATCTGTCAGATCTGTTAGATTATTTCCCAAAATCGTGCTGCCCTATTCAGAACCCCTCGCGCCGTCCTGGTTCAGAACCCCTCGCTCCGTCCTGGTTCAGAACCCCTCGCTCCGTCCTGGTTCAGAACCCCTCGCTCCGTCCTGGTTCACAGAGAGCAGCCCCCTCCACAGCTTCATCACACGGAGCCTGTGAACATCACCATGTTTTGATTGGCACTTCTCTGTTGCTAAGTGTTTGTATACTTTCCATTTTGCTTCAGCTCCATGTTGAACCTCAATATAAAGTAACCTCTCTGTAAGGCAAGGATATGAAGCTAAATATCCCAGTTTTTTTTCTGTAGCTTATTTCTGAAATTGTAATCGAAGTAGCACAAATATGCCAGCACATGTGTGCAGTGCTCCTTATACCTCAATATAACCATCAAACACATCAGGCAATAGAAGGAAGGTTCATGATGCCCACAACTAAATCAAATCTGAAACAGAAGACATTCAGAGCCATGGTCAGCTGGGATTCAGTGCCAGTCCATATCATTCAGGAAAAGTCCCAATTACATCTCAAAGGTTTGCAAGAAATTAACTCTGTATCATAAAGTATAATGGAACTGTGTCTGTGGGTATGTACAGTTATTTGTATTTTCTTTTGTTCGGCTGAATGATGGTTAAAATAGAATGATCATTTTGGTTTTCACTTCATACTGAGTTGTGAATTGCATGAAGTGATGAGCTGTTTTCTGTTTGACTGTGTGTGTGCAGACCCCAGGAAGAATAGCCAATGCTAGTGCTAATGGGGATCCTAATAAGAATAAGAATAAATAATCACCTCCTCTTAGGAGGATAGGTAACTGGGCAGCAGGGACGTCCAGCCTCCCTCACACTGTGTTTATTTTATACTGATGATAGATGGCTGCCCTCCCCAGAGTGTAACGTGAATCCATTTTATCGGATGTGTTTTGCTGATAGCTGTCCTTCTTTATTTTGTAAAGAGTCGGCCCGCTGTGTATTTGAAAGGAATAGCTGGACAGTGAACAGGCACTGTCGTCCAGATTCAGCTGGAATGTGCATGTGTTGTTCCTATAAATCGCCTCCCCACAGAGGAACACGCCTCCCCACAGAGGAAAACGCCTCCCCACAGAGGAACACGCCTCCCCACAGAGGAACACGCCTCCCCACAGAGGAACACGCCTCCCCACAGAGGAACACGCCTCCCCACAGAGGAACACGTCTCCCCACAGAGGAACACGCCTCCCCACAGAGGAACACGTCTCCCCACAGAGGAACACGCCTCCCCACAGAGGGACAATCAGCAGAGTGAAGGATTTAGTAAAATAAGCATCCAGCGTCTCTCTGGGACCAATGGGGGTCCTCCATGAACTCCGCCATACTTTAAAGGCATACTCTAATAACCTATAACTATATTCCCTCGTGAGAATCAGCTAACTCTCCATTATTTCACAGTGGGTATCTAATGTTGCTTTTCAGTTTGGCCTCATTTTGTGGTACTGATAAATGATTGCAGACCAGGACTATCACCTTGATTTGTGGGTCCATCTGTATTGAAATAAACAGTGACACACTTTGAAATAGTTATTAGCATTTATGAAAGTGTTTGTCCACGACTAATATCTCCTGCTGTGAGCTTGTGGTGACAGATTACAGTCTAATCAAACCTGGTGGGAATAATACACAAGATGTATTGATAGGAGTACTGTAAACATGTGTATACATTAATAAACACATTCAAATGTATTTCCACTTACATCTAAAATAAAGTATGATAAAGGTCTATTAAATGTTTGAACAGTACATTACCGTTATACATACAATGGGGGGAGGGGGTATTGCATAGTGTTAATGACATATATTCAAATAATAGATACAACCTCATAAAAAGCACGTAACGTGAACACCTGTCTGCTCTCTGATATCAAATGCTATTTCTCTCCCGCTATCAAACTGGGACAAAGGAATGTGGCATTTCATATTCTGATACATGTGGGGGAATCAGAACGCTCCGGCTGATCACATGACTGACTGCCGAGCCGGGGGACTGCAGGGAAAGAAAAAAAACTAATAATTATTGGTAATTTATTTGAGGCGTTAGTGAGGAAGACGCAAGAAACTAAACATCCGGACTGTTAGTCCCTCAGAGTGAGTGCAGACTGAGAGCGTCCCGCAGACCTACACACTCCTCACTGGCTCAGGGAGAAATATACATTTCACTCACATGTATTCATTTAGGATTTAACCATCTCGCTTTCATGGTGGTCCTCGCATATGTTACAAACAGCAATACAGAAATAAGAAAGCAAAAACAACAACAAAAAATCACGTCACAATCCAACCACAGACAATTTAAATCATCCTTTATTTATCATCTTCCATGTAGCTGTGCAGTCATGGAGCTGATTCAGGGACAGAAGACTGACTGTCTCGGGGACAGAGGACTGATTCAGGGACAGAGGACTGACTTTCTCAGGGACAGAGGACTGACTCAGGGATAGAGGACTGACTCAGGGACAGAGGACTGTGACAGGGACAGAGGACTGACTCAGGGACAGAGGACTGTGACGGGGACAGAGGACTGACTCGGGGACAGAGGACTGACTGACTCAGGGACAGAAGACTGACTCAGGACTGACTGTCTCAGGGACAGAGGACTGACTGACTCAGGGACATAGGACTGACTCGGGACAGAGGACTGACTGACTCGGGGACAGAGGACTGACTCGGGGACAGAGGACTGTCACAGGGACAGAGGACCGTCTCTGGGACAGAGGACTGACTCGGGGACAGAGGACTGACTCTGGGACAGAGGACTGACTCGGGGACAGAGGACTGTCTCTGGGACAGGAGACAGAGGACTGACTCAGGGACAGAGGACTGACTCGGGACAGAGGACTGACTGTCTCAGGGACAGAGGACTGACTCAGGGACAGAGGACTGTCACGGGGACAGAGGGCCGTCTCAGGGATGGAGGACCGCCTCGGGGACGAAGGACCGTCTCGGGGACTCGGGGACAGAGGACCGTCTCCGGGACAGAGAACCGTCTCGGGGACAGAGGACCGTCTCGGGGACAGAAGACCGACTTGGGGACAGAGGACTGACTCGAGGACAGAGGACTGACTCGGGACAGAGGACTGACTGACTCGGGGACAGAGGACTGACTGTCTCAGGGACAGAGGATTTTCACAGGGACAGAGGACTGTCACAGGGAAGGAGGACTGACTCGGGGACAGAGGACCGAGCGTCCTTCAGTGACAGGCGGACAGAGGACACACTGACACATCAATGTGACACTGATATAATTTGAAAGAGCTGACAAAAATGCTACTTGGGGATTTAACCTTCTGTGGACCTTGATGCAGTTTTGACATTGTGACTCCGTTCCCTGCACGTCTGATATATATATACTGTATATATATATGGTGCTGTACTCTGAATGCATCTGCCTGAAGTACTTCTATTTGGAGGATTTGACGGTTGTTCTCCCATTTCCTTTGTATGAACAAACTGACTCTCAGTCAGTGACACTGACCAGAGTTCCCGTTAGAAAAAATGTGTGCCCGTCACCCTGTCCGTTAGGATTTAAATCTTCCGGACAAATTGGAAATTTCCCGGTCAAAGGTCTTCTTTGTTATTTATTGAGCTTTAAAACAAATTGATAACAACTCTATATATTAACCTGTTAAACCCCGAGCCTGTTTTTCAGTTTTCAGGCTCGAAAATGACATTCCCAGAACAAATAACCATATCTTCCCTTCTAAAAGGGTTAAATTAATAATCTTTTTTCTCAAAGTAATGATAAACCTGTCAGTTGGATGTAGAAAGTCAGATTCAATATAGATGTTTTTTATTTTAAAGAAAATTCAGATTGAACATGTTAAAAAACTGTAAATTATAGTGTCCGTCCAAAATATATTTTGTACTTATAGTGAAAACTAACCTTGGATGATGGGTTAGTAGACTAAAAGCTTTAGGAATCCAAAGTACAAGATATAATAAGTACCCTGTATCAAGATTGATGCAAAACAAGTGATATTTGACATTTTTAGACAGATTTAGCAAAAAAAAACCTCTTCTAGGGCCATTTGGGTGGATTTTTCATATCTCTGGCTCCCCCTGCTGGATTTTGACATGTGACATCTCTTTCTAACCGTCAGAGCCAATGGAATCGAGGGGAACTCCCACATAGTCCTTATTTGGTCATGTGTGTGTATTATACTGCCGCATAGCCAAGACCGGAAGCAGCAGCCACTCTGGTGGCTACCATTAGCAGCTAACTTTTGCTCTGCGATTTTTACATAAAAATTGAATTATGGATTATAAATAATTCCAATTATTGCCCAGGAACTTTATCAACCTATGGATAAACCGATTCAGCCGCGTTCTTTCTCGTTTTAATGCCATTGAACACGTCTTTTGATCAGATTAACAGCTACGGTGAGACGATCTCCCTAGAAGCTACGTAAAGGTACGTGTTGTGATGTCTGTCTTTGCTTCCCCTGNGGGGGCACAATAAATGCAGGACGAAAAAGACAAAGACAGTATGAAGTAATTGCGCATAAGAAAACAATGCAATACATGTATTGGTATTTGTTTCAGTACACATATGTATCAGCTACTTATAGTTACAGTTTGTACGCTCTAATGCAGGGGTCTCCAGCCTTTTTTAGGATGAGAGCTACTTTCAAAAAATAAAACAGTCTTGAGCTACTTTTACTCTTTTTTTGTTTTTTGCAGTGTATATATTTAGCACATTTTAACATTATTATATGCTTACCTTTAACCTTTGTGTGCTTTTTGGGTCTGTGGGACCCGTTTTCAGTGTTTACTAAAATAACATGTATGCAATCTAATTATTTTAACCTGCTTTATTTGGGGGTGGACCTCACCTCCTCTAGGGGGGTCCGGGGGCAGGCACACCCGGGAGATTTGTTTTTAAATGTTGAAGTGAAAAACATCAATCTGGTGCACTTTGAGCACAACAGGAATGTATGGATACAGCTCTCAACACTCGTATGAAAGGGAGCTGTATACTTTTCAATAATCCAAACATCTTTAGAATATGATCACAACCAATAATAAATCATTTAAACTAGTTTATTCTTATCTTATGTTACCTAGTTAGCATGCTTTCTTTTTATTTATGCATATTTTACTAATCACTCCCCTTTTAAACTGTTTTTCTTTTTTTTTACTGTCCTATAGCACACATTGAAATGATTTCTTACTTTATTTTTTACAACTATATTAAATAGATAAAGGTGTGCTCTCTCTAGCTCTCTGTCTCGCTCAGTCACAGACGCTGTGTGCTCCTCCGTGGCGATGAAGGCTTGCGTTAAAAAATAATAAACATATTTGTAAAGTGGGGGGACATAAACAGGATTTCGAAAAGTGGGGGGAGATGTCCCCCCCTGTCCCAGTGGAAATTACGCCATGCGTGTGTGTGCGTCAAGTGCAATAAATAAATGTTGCCTTTCTGTCAGCACTGGGACTCTGTAGGAAATACGACTGTTTATGGTGATTTTTTAAGCAGGCAAAAAGGATGACTGACCTGGGGTCCTCTATCCACAGCCCCAGCTGTCGCAGGACCTCCATGGTGGCGACCTCTCGATTCAGTGTGTAAAAGTGGAGTCCCGGTACCTTTCCACTGTCTAGCAGCACACGACACATCTCCACCGCCTGTTGTATTCCGTAGTTACGAATAGCAGCATCGTTGTCTTTGATGGGCTCGATGACTTCTGTGATTTCCTTTGGCACCTCGAGCTTTGACAGCTTCACAAGCTGACGAAGAGACTGGTAACCCTGATGAGGAACAGGTTAAATGTCACATATTTTAAAAAGGTGATATTTTCCATTTTTCTAGAAAAATATAGTACGAGGCAATACTGTGGCGCTGATCTTGTATGTATCAATTCTCGCAAAGAACATGACGCCAGTATACAAGACGGCGCTGTGGACGTCAACAAAAGCACGCCGTCCGAGCTCCGTAAAAACTCTGTCTCTGCAGCTGATGGTCTATTTGACACACTTTCATATTTTTGGAGTAATTATACATTTTTTTGCCAAACAGAAATATTGTTTTCTGGCATCACTTTAACATTTTACAGGGAAAATCGGCATTTTGGTATGAGCACGCACGCCGAAAGTAAGAGGGCGCAGCGCCCCTGTTAACCGATTTAGACAAAACCATGTTTTCCATGTCTTTTATTCTAAAGCGGAGCTTGATGCTATAAAATACTATAGGAATGGAACTATGGAAATGCTCAATGTATTAAGAGATGCATACAGCCGATACTCAAAGTGGGGCTTTAAAAGGGGAGTTACCTGGATGGGGAATATTCCTGGTAGGATGGGACATGTGATACCAATTGCCCTGCAGTCATCCAGGAACTTGAGGAATGTGTCTGCTCTGAAGAACAGCTGGGTGATCACAAAGTCTGCTCCAGCATCTACTTTTTCCTTTAGGTGTCTTAAATCCTCCTCATAGCTTTCTGCCTCGGGGTGCCCTGTGGGGTATCCTGGACAATACATGCATTATTAAATCAAAGGGAGTTCAACTTGAACTGCCTACTGCTGATCTGAAGGCTGAAAGCATACCGGCAACACAGATATCAAAGTAGTCTTCAAACTCTGATCGGATGTGTTTAACTAGATCGATGGCGTGGTTGAAGCCTCCCTCCTCTTCCTCCCAGTCGGCTCCCACTGGGTCTACAGAGAATCACAATCACAGTTTAGCTGGCAGCCATACTGTATGTTGTGAAGACCTCAAAGGTTAGAGATTAATTTTAAACTCAGATTATTATAATATTTTAAATAACATTGGCAAAAGAATCAGCAGGATGGGGATTTAATGAATAGAGTGAAAAGTGAGTTTAATTGAAAAGTGCACATGCAAGGGAAAAAGCAGCCTGTCTTTCAAGGTAATCCACACACTCCAGGCAGAGCTGCTCTTAGGCTTCTCTTTACTAAGAATTGCCGTGAGAAGCCAGTGAACCTTTTTTTGTAATCAGAAACAGAAGAAAAACTATGGACCAAATCAGATAACTCAATTTCTTTATGGTCTCTTGAGTGGGAATGTTCCATTTCCCAGCAGGAATTTCCTCGAGTGTATACTTTAGGCAGCTGATAAAATTGTTTAGCACCAATGCTACTCACTTACCTACATTACTTTACAGAAGACTTCTATAATCCAAAATGTAAACACATGTAATCTCTCCTACCTCCCCTCAGGGCCATGATGTTTTTGAGGCCCAGGTGCTTGGCCTTGGCGAGGTAGCCAGTAATGTTCTCTTTGGTCTGGTTGCAACAGGTCAGATGAAGGATGCTATCTAGGCCACAATAATTGACTGCTGTGCTTGCAATCATCATAGATGAGGTTTCCTTGTCGGAGCCTGGGTCCCCTGCTGGGTGCCAAGTTATGTCGATGAACAGAGGCCCTCCGGTGCCCATACGGTCAAATCTGAGGAAAGAAGGCAAACTCAGCGCTCCAAATATTTGCTGCAGAATTACAAAAAGCCCTTTAGTTACTGGTCTATAATTGTTGAACTATGCAATCAAGAGACATATTTCTTTCTGCTATGACTAAGCTATTATTTTGTATTCTTTGAACGTGCATGCACATTTTTTATCTGGCCTTTGGTGATTCAAAGCATATCATGATTCCTGAATAAATATTTCAGTTTTCACATGCCTTGATATAAGGTTGACAGCTCCACTGGCTGTGCGGGGGGGAAAGAATTCCAGCGAGAACCAGCAGTCTCCAGACTCCGTCCTCTTGCGCATCTTGTCCCGCAGCCTGTCTAAGCGGTCTGCATCCAGCACCGGAGTGGAGCAGCGGGAGCTTTCCTTGGAGCTCTCCCCCCCACTGTTGCTGGCCCCGCTGGAGTCACTCTTGCATGACTGCCAACTACCGTCCCCTCGCTGAACCTGGTTAACCATGATGGTAACTTAGTCTGAGAAAAAAAGAAACATCTGTTCCATCAATGACTTCAGATTTGTATGTATACCTAGCTGTACAGCACATAAACCAATGAACACTAGTAGACACAACCTCATAACTAACCACAATAATAAAAAGTTATACAATTGTCAATACAGAATAGGAGGAAAGTTTAACTGAATTGCATGATTCAAATCCTGCTTGAAAAGTATATAGAGAATCCAACAAGGGGCCACTAAAGTACTAAATAACAATAATGGTAAGGTTTAGGATTATTTAAATGAATTGCTATACCACTTGTTAGCATAACTTCTAATGCATAATGATTTATTAGTTGATTTATATTCTGTATTATAAATTAATACATGCAAAGAAGTTAGTATCACATTTTTTTAAATGCACGTAGTGGAGTAAAAGGTAAAACAATGCCTCCGAAATGTAATAAAGTAAAAGTATTAAGTAGCAAAACTCGAAAATACTCAAGTGAAGTATTTTGGTACAGTACTTGACTAAATGTACTTAGTTACATTCCACCACTGGGTGTTCAGCATACGTTACCATGGAGAAGTGAACCAGCGCCGTAGGGCTGAAACCCGGCCAGCGTTAATCCTAAAGTTACCACGATAACCCCAAAACATGCTTCTAGTAAAGACCATGGGTCCCTTCTCACCCAGGATTACCTCTAAACTGTAGAAAAGTAAGGAATTTTTGTGATGAAATCAACTCCCAAACACAGAGTAGCACGAGCCGCTCACTTTATACCCAGGTATATATCCCCCGCGCGTGCAGGTAAAGTAGTGTAGTAGCAAACTGCTAGCTATGTGGGAACAGCTAATGTTAGCTGCGTGCTTCACGATGCAAGCCGTGTAGTTATTACATTCAAACAGACAGATAGAAGTGACCCTGAGTATATTCTGCTTCTACCACGCCGAGCTTGTAGCTTAACCCAGTCCGCTCTGTTTGCGCTGTTGGTAAACAAAAAACAGTGCTTCTCCCACCTCCCAAAGACGGTTGTCTTTGTGTTGCGGTACTGTCTTCAATCCGGGGCGGAACGCTAGCTGTGGCAGCGTGGTATCCAAAAACAGAGATCTCATGTGGCAGGGGTCAACCATGTATGAAGAGAACTGGATCCAGCGTCGGAGGAGGGTCACCGCTCATTGCTATGAGAGTTGCTCAGTGGCGCATGAAGCAAAAATAGAGCGACTGTAGATTCAGAAAGTACCCGGATCGTCCGGGGCCTTTTGTTTAGAGAGCATGCGCACTTAAGTTTTCCTTAAGTCGATTAATGGAGAGAGAAAATAACTTTGGATTCAACTTTTGACACATGGTACAACTGGAAAGTCCTAATCATTTAAATAAGGGCTAAACAAGTGTTCGTAGTAGGTAGTTGATTTAGCTCAAAAATAAATTATACGCTGATTTACAGACGTCTCAGTCAATGGGAAAAGGTCTTTTTGGGTCAAAATGACGCCACGGACGCTGTAGTACCACCATTTGGCCGCTATAGTCATTCCAAAATCGGCTTCAAAAATTGGCGCACTTCCTGGGGTCCTGGGGTCAACGTTTGCACGAGACTTAACAGCAGCGGAAAGTTCTCCTTTGCCAGTTCGTGAAAGAGTTAAAGAAAGACGTAAACAAATTGTAACATGACCCTGGCCCTTTCTCATTTCACTAATTCCCCTCCTCGACTCCTATCCTCGAGGCTTAGTCCCGCCCACAGGAGATGCGAGCGGAGGAGCCGAGGAGGGGAACCGAGGAGAGAGGAGGGGAAGCAGCAGGCAATTAGAGAAATTAGAACTCCTCTCCTCTGAGCGGTCATTTTAAAGAGACGTCCATTAATGATGACAGGAGGCACAGCAGCCCTCTGTCTGATGGACAGATGTGTTCATCACGACTTATATATTTACTTTTAATTCATTCACAGTGCAGTATAATGAGACAATAACAGTGTCTCTGTTCCCGGAAATGCATCCACGAAGGAGCCGTGGAGGACCGTGGAGGACCCATCAGTGTATCCTCGGTTATAGATACTATACCTACTATTGCAATAACCGAGAAACCTTTTCATTATAAAGGTACTCGTAAATTTGCGTCGTTCTCGTCGTGGGGGACTAAGAACAGTTTTACGCCTTACAATAAAAGTTTTATCAGTTTTGACACACAGTAAATGCGTATCAAATTTATAATAATAGTGATTGGCGTAAAAGTTTTAGAATTTTAAGTTACGTGTTAATTTTTCATAGTGGGATACCCCTTACCATTCGTTGCGTTATTAAACACTAACTCGATAACATTAGTACACAAATGTTATAATTTTTGTTACCATAAGTGACGACGCAATCGAATGAAAGAAGACACCCTAAATTCTTTTTTGGTTTTGCTAAATGTAAATTTTTGTTGATAAAATCGTCGATAATTATTTTCCAAATAAAAAATTCCTGTAAATGTGTTAAGTTCCAACAAATTACAGTAACCCCGGGAAAGAGGAAAGTAGTTAAGGGTAGGAGCTGAGGAGCCCAGGAGGCTATCACTGCTCTTTAGTTAAAGTCGGCCGGTACAACTTCTGGTAGATCTTAACTAGATTACTGTAGCTCCCTGGTTCCTAGCCTCGTAGTCCTCCAAG